TAGCAGGTCATCTGCAAAGATTAGGTGGGAAATCTTGAGTCTTCCACATTTGGGATGGAATTTAAAGTCTCTGTCATTATTCAGCATACTCAATTCCCTTGATAGATATTCCATGCCAATGATAAACAAATAGGGGGAGAGAGTATCACCCTGCCTCAAGCCCCTTGTTCCTTTGAAATATCCATGATAAGAGCCATTAAGAGAAATGGAATATTTAGGAGTTGAAACACAGGTCATAATCCAATCTGCAAAGACTTTAGGAAATCCTAGACCTCTGAGCATATTATCCAGAAAGTCCCAACTAATTGTGTCAAAAGCCTTTCTAATATCTATATTAAGCATGGCTCTAGGAGATAGATGCTTTCTACCATAATTTTTAACGAGCTCATGAGCTAGTAAGATGTTATTTTGAATTTGTTTACCCTTTACAAAAGCACACTGAGCTTCACTGATGATAACTCCCATGACAGACTGTATTTTGTTAGCAAGAATCTTTGAAATAAACTTATAAATGTAGCTGTAGCATGAAATTGGTCTGAAGTCAGCGGGATTTGTAGGACAATTTACCTTTGGGACGAGAGTAATTACTGTTGAATTAATAGTGCCCAATAACTTTCCAGGCTTGAAAAAGCCCTCAATAGCTTGTGTGATTTCATCACCTACAATAGACCAAGCAGACTTGTAGAAGGATGCACTATACCCATCAGGGCCTGGTGCCTTGTCATCAGGCATAGAGAAGATTGCATTCCTAATCTCATCCTTAGTAACTGGCTTAGATAAATCTTTGGCTTGAAGGACATTTAGACAATGGTCTTTCTGAATTATGCCAATATCAGGAGCAACAGTTGTGATTGAAGATCCAAACAAGGACTTGTAGTAGGATACTAGCTCCTTAACTTTCTCTTCCCCCTCAGTGATCCTTTCACCATTGTTGTTATACATGACCATGACTCTATTCTGGTGTCTATTGATCTTGATAACAGAATGAAAAAAGTTTGTGCACCTGTCCCCTTGAAGACTCCAGTTAATTCTAGCTTTTTGTTGATAAAATGATAACTCACACTCCAGAAGTTTGTTAAAAGTAGAAACTCCAGTTAATTCTAGCTTTTTGTTGATAAAATGATAACTCACACTCCAGAAGTTTGTTAAAAGTAGAAATACAACCCTTTTCTTGGCTTATGAGAGTAAAATGATAACTCACACTCCAGAAGTTTGTTAAAAGTAGAAATACAACCCTTTTCTTGGCTTATGAGAGCAGCATTAAGAGGATCAGAAAGCAAAGCCTTTTGAGCAATTTCCAAATCCACTTTAGCTCTAAGAACCTGCTCACTGATGTTGGAAAAGTGTCTTTTGTTAAGATCCTTTAGAGCAATTTTCAGGAGCTTCAGCTTGGAACAAACAGAAAACATAGTATGGCCATCAATAGAAGTATCTAAGATAGAAGAAACTGTAGGCAAATAGTTTGCATGTTTGGTCCACATCTTGAATAATCTAAAAGGCTTTTTACCTTGCACTTGATCCTCAAAGATTGTAATAAGAGCAGGAGAATGATCAGAAAAACTAGGAAGAAGAAACTCAGCTTGACTTGAATTGTATGTATTAATCCAGAGATCATTCACTAATGCTCTATCCAGTCTACTCCAAACTCTAGTATCAGCATCTTGCTTGTTATTCCATGTGAAGAAGCATCCAATGGTTTTCAGATGAGTTAGCTGGTTACTATCAATAAATTGATTAAACTCCATGGTATCAGCTTCAGTTAAAGTTGCACCACCCAGTTTTTCATCAACACTAATCATGGCATTGAAATCCTCGCAAAGCAACCAAGGCAAAGCCCCTAAGACTTGTTGTAACTGGGATAAATTAGACCACAAAGACTTCCTTGCTTCAGAATGGTTGAATCCATAAACAGAGGAGATAATGCAATTGAGCCTGCCATCCAGAGACTTAACAGCACATGAAATATGTTGAGCAGAAAAACAAAGGATTTTGACATCCAAAATGTTTGGATCCCACAGGATCATGACCCTGGCTTTATCTGAGCTAGTTGCATTAGAAATCCACTCCCAATTAATTACAATCTTTTTTGCTATAGCCTGGACTTTATTCAGCTTTAACTTTGTTTCAAGGAGGGCTAGGAAAGAAAGATGGTACTGCATTAGGTGTTTCTTAACCAAATGCTGTTTAGGGGATTTATTTAATCCCCTAACATTCCAAAAGGACAAGTTCATTGATTTGTACCCCCTCTATCAATTGTTGAGGGGTCCAATACAGAAATCAAGTTTGTAAGAGGAGAAAAGGGGTTAACTCCTTTACTTTTACTTCTATGAACTTGAGGCCAAGAGCTACCAGGGGGAATTGCTTCCTTTCCTTTGTTAAATTCCATAACAGGCTGAACATGCACAACATGCACAGCACTGTTAGCATCAGTTGCAGAAACCACTTCATTTGCATTTCCATTTGAAGACTGACTCTCAGCTCTAGAAGTCATAGAGGAAGAATGATTACTATTTTTTACAATAGGCTGATCCCCAATAACAGGAATTTCACCAGCTCCTTGCTTGTCCAGGACCACAGGTGTCTGACCAGCAGCCTGTTTAGAATCAGGAACATTTTTCTTTTGTTTTGGGATCCATCTTTGTAATGGATAGTGCCTTTTACAGTATTTGGTATCATGCCCAACATTTTTACAGTGATCACACCATCTAAGTTTTAGCTCATATAGCACTTTCTGAACATATTGAGAACCATCAGGCCCTTGAATAGCAATCTGATCTGGGAGTGGAGAGGGCATATTCACTTCAACAAGAACTCTAGCATAAGTCAGTCTTTGCATATTAGCGGTAAGCATATCCGTAGCTATAGGGCGGCCAATAATGCTAGAAATTTTACTTATCTCCTTAGCATTCCACAGGTTTAATTTTAATGCAGGTAGCTGAATCCATAATGGATAGATGCAATCATTTAATTTTTCAAAATCATCACCCACAAACCAAGGCTTCAATAACATAGGCCGAGAACCAAAAAACCAAGGACCTGTTAAAAGGATCTTGTTCATATCATCTTTATTTTTGAATTTGAAAAGAAACACCCCATCATTGAGAAGGCTAATTTCAGGCAATGCCAGAGGAGCCCAAGCTTTATGGATGAAACCTTCCATTGCTTTAAATTTAACATTTAAACCCATTACCTGGCCAACAAGAGAAAATTGCCAGGTAGAAATCCCCTCATTCCATTCTTCTTCATTAAAAGAAACCACATCATTTGACACTGGAGGAATGTAGTTCATATTTAAACCACTCCATTGCTTTCTGTTATCTGCAAAAAAGCTAACCCAGCTTCTTTTCGAATTCACATTTGGAGCATCATTTTGAACTGGAAGAGGAGTATTAGAAATCTCATCCAGATTACCAGATTCCGAATTGATATTTTTTCCCTGATTTTTAGAATTTAATGGAACGGTACTAGTACTAGAGTTCAAATTATTAAACAATGGAACAGTACTATTACCATGGCTCAAATTTGGAATCAAAGGAACATCAATAGAATCATCCACTGATGAACGATCTAAATTAAGAGGATTAGATGAATCCATCTCTAGATCTAATTCATCTGCCCAAGACACCCTGGATGAAGTCCCCGCACCAGAAATGGGAGATTTGCTCAGGCTACGCATCTGGACTCCAGCGAGATTAGCTTCACACTGATGATTACAGGATTCAAGAATTTCCACCATTGTCTTCTTCTTCTTTTTGCCTTTAGGTCCAGTGGAACCCATTACACTTGAAGAACTAACATCATCATCATCAGATCTAAGCTCGAATTGCTCAGCGGGAGGGAGCAAACTTGAGTTAGATGCTCGGAGACCAATGTTGAATATCTTCCTTCCACTATTCTTCTTCTTCTTCCCCATTAGATCTCGGCAGTAGCGTAGGTTAGCAGAGAAAAAACCGCCTGCTAAAATAAGCCATCGGAGCTGCCCCTCTTCATAAGAGCCCTCTTTTTTATTTTGCTACAATAATTCTTTTTTTAAATGCTACAGTTTTTGTAAATGCTACAACATTTTTAAAATTGCTACAGTTCTCTGCTTTGTGCTTTTGTGCTGCAGTGGTATTACTACAGTAATAATGCTATAGTAATTCACTGTAGCATTTACTGTATCATGAATAATAAATCTTTGTATCCTCCTGTAAGTATAGATGAGTAGATATTCAGTGATATTATTTTCTAAAATATCTGCTTTTAAATTTATGACAGGTAACAGTTAAATCTGATTATTTTGATATCATGTTATAAATCTTTGTTACTGCATAGAAACTCCTAATTAAATAGCAACTAACAAGATACATGACATGGAAAAGAGAAAAGAAAATCACATAGAAAGGATTAAATGACAAAATAAACTAATATATATACGAATCATGTTAATAATAATGACATACTGAGCCTAAGTCGACATTTATATGAGCCTATCTTTAACTCTCGCTTTTGAAAAACATCCTTACATAAATTTATAGCCTCATTAATTAAGCTAAGCAAATATTTTCAATTGTTGAGATTATAATTAGGTAATGCCCAACAAGAGCACAAAGATGCTGCACACACCTAACCTGCATCGGAGACTATAAATACGCTTTTATACTCTCCTCCACACGTGCTAATGTGAAACCTCAAGCACAAACAAACAAAAGAAAACAACATCACCGAAGAGAAAATGGGGCCCTAAGCCTAGACTTAAAAAACAAGCACAAAAGCCAACCTTTCAAAAGTTTCAACTACAACCTGCATGCTTTGTTGACATAATAGCAATAGCCTCTTCCTCCTCTATACTTTGCTAGCTAGCTAGCTTTCCCCTGAAATATAATTTCAATCAAGAGAGCAAAAAAAATGGGGTTGAGGAATTTATCCATGGATTATGATTATGATTTGGGCTTGTGCTTTCAATATCCTCCATCTCTCTTTGAGTGGCTAAATTCTCAATCAAGATCTATCCCATCATCACAAAAACAAGAAGATGAGATGCAGTGTTTGCCTCTGATTAATATGCTTGAGGAGCCCAAGAAGCCAAATATCAAAGAAGAGGTTAAGGAAGAGGTTAACCAAGAGAAGGTGACTGTTTCCCTAAAATTAGGGTTACCAGGGGATTCAGAAAGTTTTGATGGTGAGAAAACGGTTGATAATATTGCATGTTACAAAGAGGAAGAGGAGGTTGAAGAGGAGGTTGAAGAGATTAATGAAGAGGTTAAGTATTGGATACCGACACCGACACAGATCCTTATAGGGCCTGTTCAGTTTGCTTGCCATGTCTGCAATAAAACCTTCAATAGGTATAATAATATGCAGGTTAGTATACATATCGCTCTTACAAATCTTGGAAAATTTTTCCTTTGTTTCTTTTCAATTTTTCGATTTTTTTTCCATGCTCTATTACTTTGATTCCCCCCCCTACATTACTGATTTTTGTTTTATTGGGGGAAATTAATTTATGATTGATTAATTATAAATACAGAGATTAAAACAGGTATTTTAACTTATTCCTTAGGGTAATATTTCAATTGTTAATGATAAATAGAGTGTTATTTGAAAGAGAAAAGAGGAATTAAATTTGGTCTAGAGACACTACTAGGGATCAAATAGCCGTAGCTCATAACTATGACTAGCATGCTTTAATATTTTTTCTGTAAGTGGAGTTAGATGTTGTGTACCTTTTCCCTTTCTTATTGAGTTATTTTCCTTTATAAATTGTTCGTAATTTAATTAGTTGAAGAAACCTTCTTTATTTTAAGGCTTGGGCAAAAGAATCAAAATCTTATGGTTAATATGTTCTTATCACGTTATATAGTTAGTGAATTAGAATGTTCCGGCATTCTCCAAGTCTTCGTACGAACCTAGAATTGGAATCTAGAAATTTCTCATAGCCATATATGCGTCTCTCTCAAGAAATTAACATCATAGCCGTCTTTTCATTTTTTTAGCCTCATATATAGAGGCTGTTTCTTGCATGTTCCTCATGTTTCATCATCTAGTTCCTTAATTTCCCTTGTTATTCATACTATTTAATAAATTTCTTTCTCTTAAATTTGGGGTTTATCTCCTATCTTAAATAGGGAGTTATTGGTGCTCATTATCATCTTATATTACTCAAAGGGAACAAGAATCTGAAGCCTATATCCTATCAAAGTAGGATATTAGCTCTTCCTCTCGTCAGCTCTAGGACTGCGCGTCGAGGGACCCTAAAAGCTATTACAAATCACACAAAAGCAGTACAACCAATTTTAACGTGGTTCGGCAAATTGCCTACGTCCACGGGGCAAGGAGGGGGGAGATCTACTAATAGAGGGAGAGAATACAACTAGGGTTTACAATCACTCTCAATCTAAACCCTCAAACAATCTCTCTCAAATCCCTCACAATATCTCTCTACAAAAGGATCACAAAAGGACTATACTTTTCTTTCTGCAACCGCACAAAAAGAACTCCCTGCACTTTTGCTTTTCCTTCGTGGCCGCAATGCACCGAGCCTGCTTGCAGCTGCCAATAAAAAAAAACTCCTTGCTAACCCTAAAAATAATCAAGTTCGTATATATATACGTAGGTGAAAAAGCGGTCGGTCATAGGCCTTCGTGGGCCTTCGTGTCTCTTCACGCGGAGTTGAAACCGCGTGAGATGAAACCGCGTTCACAATTCTCCACCTCGGTGAAGTTTTCCCAAAACTGAGCCGACACCAATCACACAAAAGCGGTCGGTCATAGGCCTTCGTGGGCCTTCGTGTCAGCTCTAGGACTGCGCGTCGAGGGACCCTAAAAGCTATTACAAATCACACAAAAGCAGTACAACCAATTTTAACGTGGTTCGGCAAATTGCCTACGTCCACGGGGCAAGGAGGGGGAGAGATCTACTAATAGAGGGAGAGAATACAACTAGGGTTTACAATCACTCACAAACTAAACCCTCAAACAAACTCTCAAATCCCTCACACTATCTCTCTACAAAAGGATGCACAAACCCTAACAAAAGCTGTTGCTTTATCTTTTGCACCCAAAAAAACAATTTTCTCCTGCTGCGAATTTTTCCCGGCCGCAACCAAAACAATCTTCTGCTCTGCCGGAAAAGAACACCCGCAGCCAAGAAAAAACAATCTCAATCTCCTGCGCACCCTAAAAATCAAAGTTTATGATATATATATATATATGAGCTGTCGGGTGGGCCTTGGGTTTCCGCGTGGGCTTGGGATTTGTCCGCTGATTCTTCATTCACGTGGCTTGATTTGTCCGCTGGCTCTTCCTTGATTTGTCCGCTGGCTCTTCATTCACACGGCTTCATCACATGAGTCGTGGTCCCCACCTGCACAATTCTCCACCTCGGTGAAGTTTTTCCAAAACTGAGCCGACACCAAAACAACCAAATGTCCTACTTGTTGTGACCAGTACGAACTCAATCCACAACAAGTCGAGAACCCGAACGAGAGTCCAAACAATCTCCCCCCATCAAAATCAACATCCAAAACGTGTGCATCTAAAGAGCCCTATCGTATCTCTATCCAAGAATCAAGCCATACGTAGCACCCAAATGCCCTCAACTCGCTCATACAATCACAATATGCAACAATTTCACAATGAATCAAATCTTTTGCTCGGAACCCTTATACATATCCCGGATTAGCCTCGTTGTGACTTCATAATTTCCACATCGCCATCTCAAAACATCCTCACATAGTGATAACGAATCACGAATATGCAACAAGTTTCGACAATGATCAAACTTGTTGCTCGGAACCACCTTAGTGAGCATATCCGCCGGATTATCCTTCGTGTGGACTTTCATAATTTCCACATCGCCATCTTCAAGAACATCTCGAACGAAGTGATAACGAATGTCAATGTGCTTCGTCCGCGCATGAAAAACCTGATTCTTCGCCAAATAGATAGCACTCATGCTATCACAATGAATAGTGACGGACTTCTGCGATATACCAAGTTCCTCCAAAAGTCCTCGAAGCCAAATAGCCTCCTTCACAGCCTCCGTAACTGCCATATACTCTGCCTCCGTCGTAGACAAAGCCACCGTCGACTGTAAGGTGCATCTCCAACACACCGGTGCACGGGTCAAAGTAAACACATACCCCGTAGTAGACCGGCGCTTATCCAAATCCCCGGCATAATACGAATCAACATAACCAATGCATAACTACCCACCTG